ATAAAAATATATATAAATATATATAAATATATATAAATATATATAAATATATATAAATATATATAAATATATATTGTTTCAGAAAAATCATTTGCCCGTCCAGTTCATGGTCTCTGGCAAATGGAATAATTCTCAAGGTATTTTTGCGCAAGCTTTGTATACAGCCAAGGGTATACATCCAAATGGCTTGTAACCAAGCGCCTGTGCGTGTACTCACACACCTTGGACACTAGAATACCGTCCCGCAGTAATATTATAAGTTCGTCCACTCCGTCTTTAGTCACATCTGAGCTCAGCAGCAAAAAGACAGGTTGTCCCAGATCGTAGGTTTCTGATAGTACATAGTCTGCACCACAACAGCAGAAGGGTAATGTTCGTTGTTGAGAAATGGTCTATAGCATTAAAGGTGGTGTTTCGGTAGCGTTCATTTGTGAGTTGTTCGCATAAAAAGCACCCACACTCGCAAAAAAGAACACTCAGGGCAGAAGTCTTTGTCAGCCATGTTCGTGCGAGTTTTATATGCAGATAAATTTCTTATAAATGTTCGCATGGGCGCACGGTAGACCGCTCGCATTGTCCCGGTCAGTAGCCATACACACTGTCCCAGGGACTAAATACAACAAATATCATGCAACTATCATACAACAATCATACAATTATCATACAACAACTATCATGCAACTATCATACAACTATCATGCAGCTATCATACAACAATCATACAACTATCATACAACGACTACCATAAATATGATCGACCAACTGGCCTAAACCCGCCCGCCCACCCACACACCTTGCGCCTCCGAGTCCTGGTGCAGACTATATCGCAGCAGCTTATTGCCGAAGGTCCCCAGGAGGATAGAGTTGGTCTGTCGAAATGTCACATCTCTGACCAGCAGGCAGTTGACGGTGTCTGCGTCCGATGACCCCGGCAGGTGTGTGCCTTTCTCCAGCCCATACACCACCACATCACTGTGTGAATGCAGGCGCAACAGGTGTTGTAACGTCTTGTGTCAACACAACAATCGTAGGTGTTTTTGACGTATGTCGTGGGGAATATTACAGCTGCGCGAACAACGCTAACAGATGTTTGATCTGTTTGTATTAAGACGACGTGATCAGTGCTAGCACAGCACGGTACGGCTGTTTCGCACATGAGCCATGTCACGACCCCAATGTGCTATATACATCCGCAAAGTCCGACACCGACATGTCCAATCGCATCGTCTGTTATTCCATCACACGCGCACAGACAAACTTTAAACTTGTGTGCCGGCTTGAATTCGTTGGCGAGGATGTGAGTACAGTACACACCAAGGAGCGTGATAGCAATTATACCCAATCACCATTATAGTAAGGCACGGCGTGAGGAACAACAAGGGCGAAGGCCTCCTAGTGTCACGACATGGCGTACAGATCTGAAGGTCCTGGGGACAGCCGTGAATAGTATGCACAGACACACAAAGACAGCAGCAGCAGCACACACAGCGAACAAACTGGGCCACCGAATGACACGCACAGCATACCGATACACAAACGCCGCCTCCACTGCGCAGGTCACCAGCAGATGCACGGGGCTGTCTTCGCTGTCGTTGGGCTGGCGTAGTAAGCAAAGAAGCAGTACTATGAGTTTGGTAGAGTGTGGGAGACTACTTGACATCATCCAGTGTACGGTAAGTAAAAGTTGTATCATACATGTGGTGTGCACCGGTATGTGGCAGATGTATACTACGTGTAGATATATATCAATTTAAAAACATAGACGTGCGAACAGGGGGAGGAGGAGGGGGGGGGGGATAGAACATCAGAAGAGAATAAACAGAGAATGTACATGAGCCACTTTTAATTTCTATAAGCGAAACATTATGTCTTTGCAGACGCGAATATCATGGGGCGACCGCAACTAACGAGAGGCAATACGTATACAACGCAGTCCACATCAAACTAACAAGCGGATGGATGGGACGAATGGGGCAGTTGTGTGTCGCCACTGTATCGCAGAGTCACTTCACAAACGTGAACGTACACTCGACAGACATCGTAGAAGCGGTGGTCAGTTGACGGGCTCTCTTCGTGAATTTGTATTTTATATCCTTCAAATGACACTGAATTGTAGCTGCCGTACCTGATGTTCTTGCGCACATGTTCCCTTCACGTTGAGGCGTTGATGCGTCGCATACTGAGAAACGTGTAGCTAACCCTATACCCTTCTTTCTAAACCCTAACACTTGTTTAGGATGCCCAATGAATTAAACACATTCAGACCTATAGCCGTCTGCCCATGGGACAACCTAGTGCACTGCGCACATACCTTATCGGTGAACAGCTCAACGGCTGTCACTGGCCCGTCCAGATACACATGCTCTTCCAGTTCTGCGATGCACAGGTGATAGGGACAGGGACAGTGGAGAGAAACAGGATCAGAAGGAGACCACCGA